CCCCCCCCCCACAGTCCTGGCACCTGAAGTGGCCACCTCAGTTCACCTCATGGTAAGGCCAGCCCTGATGCTGAAGCAGGAGTAGCAGATGTTTAGATGGTGCTATACATGAAGCAGATGTTCTAATGAGCAAAACTAACTGAACAGAAGAGACTGTACCAGATAAGTGACTTTTACTCTGACTGTAATTTGTTTAGATTAAACTATTACAGTTTTCCAGTGTGGCTGCTTTAGAAAGCCAAGGTGTAGTTTTCCCTCCATTTCGTCAGCTCAGTAGAAAGGTGCTTGGATTGTAACCTGTTGTCTGTAGGAAGTTGGATGCTGCCCATAAGAGCAAATCCATGTTAGTGGCCAGGGAGCAATTGCTGAGTAAAGAGTGCTGAACCCCTGGTGTGAGCACCTGAAGGGACCAGAAGTTCTTGAGTGTGGAGGGAGGGGACCGAAGTCTAACACATTCAGCCATCCCAGTGCAGGGCAGCAGAGGCAACAATGACAGGAAGCTGCACAAGAAGCAGCTGAAATACTGATTGAGCATCTGAATCTAAACAGCACAGAGGTTTTTGTGCTGGTCTGTATCACTGTGAGAGGCCAGCTGTTATACTGCTGACAATAATAATCGCCAGCATCGTCTGCTTCCACTCTGCTGATTGTGAATGTGAAATCAGTGCCAGATCCACTGCCGCTGAACCGGTCTGGGATCCCAGAGGGGCGGGTGGAAGCGCTGTGGATAAGGAGTTTAGGAGCTTGTCCTGATTTCTGTTGGTACCAGGCCATGCCTGTAGAAGCACTGGAACTGGCTTTGCAGTTGATGGTGACTCTGTCTCCTGGAGACACTGAGAGGGATTCTGGAGTCTGAGTCAGCACAATCTGCCCACTGGAGTCTGGATTGGAGAATAGATTTAGGATAAAAAGAAATGTAAAATCCTTCAACATCAGAATAATTAATAAGCTACTAAATTGCATCTTTTGGTGTCTAGCCTGGAGCTCTCATTCTGCTAACAGTGTAAATGCTACTAGGAATTATTGCTTGAAAGAGAAATACTTTAGCATTTAAATCCTCATAAAATATTGTAACTTTCCTTTTAAACAAATCCTCCCATGTTGTTGATCTTACCCTGAATCCAGAACATGAGAAGCCAGAGAAATTGAGTCTGGGAGATCATCTTGATATGTGTAGAGTGACAGATACCAAGTTCAGAAGCACAAAGTATAAAGGTGACATATTTATATCTGCTCAGAACAGCCAGGAACTGTCACTCGGCTGGAAATATGCAAAGCAACGTCTCTGAGTAAATGTCCATTCCCTCTGCAGACCCAGGGCCACGTTTACACCTCAGTCTGGTAACGCATCTCCCATTCCTGGCAGTGAGGGATGCCCAAATGGGTCAGGCAGGGGCTGGTCTTTATAATCAGTGGGCCCAAAGTGTCCAGGAGCTTTTCCTGATCAAGGAGTCCAGCACTGGGCTCAGTTTGTTCATAAACTGAGCGGCATCTGGTGTCTGTCACTGGTAACTTCCAACTCTCATGGATTATTTAGTGCTTAGATCCCAGTGTTGCTCAGAGAACAGTTTCCTGAATGGGTTATTAGGATGCTAGTTAATTAGTTCATTAATTAGTTCATCCTTACACCGTACTTTGAAAAACTGCAGATCTGTTTAAGGGCTAAATATTATTATAATTGACAGATTCCCTTGTAATGTCTGTCACTGAATATAAACAGGAGGTAATAAATTCATATATTCCAAGGCCAGAAAGGACCATTTTGATCACCTAGTCTGACCTCCTGCATAATGCAGGTCATAGAACTTCCGCAAAATAATTCCTAGAGCAGAGCTTCTAGACAAAACATCCAAGTGTGATTTAAAAATGGTCAGTGATGGAGAATCCACCATGACCCTTGGAAAATTGTTCCAATGGTTAAGCACTCTCACGGTTAAAAATTTACATCTTATTTCCAGTCTGCATTTGTCTAGCTTCAAATTCCTGCTATTGGATCATGTTATACCTTTCTGGGCTAGATTGCAGTCAATTATTATAGAGTAACAGAGAGTCCTGTGGCACCTTTAAGACTAACAGATGTATTGGAGCATAAACTTTCGTGGGTGAATGCCCACTTCGTCGGATGCACCCCTTAACCTTTTCTTTGTAAAGCTAAATAGATGGAGCTCGTTGAATCTGTCATTATCAGGCAGATTTTCTAATTCTTAAATCATTCTTGTGGCTCTTCTCTGAACTATCTCCAATCAACATCCTTCTTGAAGTGTGGCTACTAGAACTGGAGACTAGTCCAGCAGTGGTCACTCCAGGGCCAAATATGGAGTTAAAACAACCTCCCTACTCCTACTTCAGATTCCCCTGTTTATATGTCCCAGAATTACTTGAGCATTTTGGCTCCAGCATCACATTGGGAGCACATGTTCAGCTGATTATCCACCATGACCCCCAAATCTTTTTCCGAGTTACTTCTGCCCAGGATCGAGTCCCCCATTTTGGAAGTATGGCCTATATGGTTTGTTCCCAGATGTATACATTTACATTTAACCATATTAAAATGTGAATTGTTTGCTTGCGCCCAGTTTACTTAACAATCCAGATCACTCTGTCAGTTGCCTGTCCTCTACATTATTTATACTCCCCCAATTTTTGTGTCATCTAAGCTTTATCAGTGATGATTTTGTTTCTTCCAGGTCATTGATAAAAAAAAATAGCAAAGGACCAAGAACCAAACCTGGTGGGACCCCACTGGTAAAACACCCACTCTGTGATGATTCCCCAATGTACAGTTACATCTTGAGACCTATCAGTTAGCCAGTTTTTAATCCATTTAATGTACACCTAAGTTCCCTGCAATGCCGCCCATCCCCTTCCTCCCTAAGCTCATTGAATGGCCATTTACAGCTGTTGCCTCCAATTCCTCTTCTCCAGCTCCCATCTGATCTGGTTTCTTCCCTTTCTGCTGCACTGAAACTGCTCTCAACGTTTTTCTGGACCAATCTCCATGCCCATGCTCCTTGATTTCTTGGCTGCTCTTAACACTGTTGATCTCACACACTTAGTAGAAATCTTGTCCTCCCTTGGTTTTCATGATGTCGCCTTGTCCTGGTTCTCCTCCTACCTTGCTTCTAGTTCTTGTAATGTCTAGTTTGGTCAGTCATCATCCTTCCCTCTCCCACTCTGTCATTGGAACCCCCAGGCTTCCATCTGTAGTGTCCTACTCTGATGCTTGGGATATGTTGTACACTAAATGCTAAATTATAATATTAAAGTGTGTGTCACATATACACAGAAGGCACCTCAGCTCTCACTGCTTTTTTACCTCCCCTAGTAGATTAATGGACCACAAGACATACCGTATTTGAACCCTGTGAGACCTTGCATAAGAGAGCCCACCAGGCAAGATGAACAACTGCCCAGTACTGAGTCATGTCAGAATGATAAGAAAGGAGCCACAGACAGTATTATAGATTGTAAAACTTATATTTTTCCTATGAAAATATTAATTACAATATGATGCGACCAGAGTATTCTGAGTTTAGTAACAAAGTACTGTATATACTCGTTCATTAGCCTGTTCGTTTGTAAGCCGATCCCCCAAGATGAATAGGTAAAAATAGCAAAAATGGTATGACCCTTCCATAAGCCAACCCTATGTTTCAGGGGTTGGCAAACTTTGGCTCCCGGCCCATTAGGGTAAGCTGCTAGCGGGCCTGGACATTTTGTTTACCTGGAGCTTTCACAGGCACGGAGCCCCTCAGCTCCCAGTGGCCGCAGTTTGCCGTTCCCAGCCAATGGGAGCTGCAGGAAGCAGCATGGGCTGGCCACCTCTTCCTGGAGCTCCCATTGGCTGGCAATGGCAATCCATGGCATGGAGCTGAGGGGCTCCGTGCCTGCAAATGCTCCAGGTAAACAAAATGACAGTGTATTAGATATTCAATTCAATAATTCCATAGAGCTTAAAATCATCAAATTTTGGTGTAGACCCATTGATAAGCCAACCCCCACTCTTTGATGCTTCACTTCTTTACCAAAAAAATTTGGCTTATGAACAAGTATATACAGTAATTAGTTTTGACAAGACAGTTTCCTCAACCAAATAGAAAGGGACATGGATAACAGAAAAGAGAGGAGAAGGTTAAAGGAAACAAAGAATGAGATGTTCCTTTGTTAGGTGGTAGGTGAGCCATTATTGTTGTCAGCTTTAGGGCTAAATTGTAGTTCTTTACTCAGGCGGGCAGAATCCCTGGTCCATCTGCGGTCAGGCGAGAAAACTGGACTGGAGGAGTGGTTGAGATGATGGATAAAATTTCCGTCTCTCTCCCAAAGTGGAGAGGAGACAGCATCAGAGGAACAGACAAAAAGAAATCCACGATCATCTGAGGTAGGTTGTTAAACCGAAAAAACACTATGGCCTGAGGTTCAATAGGCTTTGCACTCATTAGACCTATAATGTGGAGTGGAAAATAAAACAAAAGTAAAGGATAGATGCAGAACAGAAAAAACAGCTGCTCAAGAACATCTCTGTCAGTCTGTGTCAGGGGCTACCAATGGGCCAACGAGATCTCTTGGTCAAAGGCTTGAATATGTAAAACCACATCGAGCTGTGGCTAGTTTACTGAGCATATTCTCTATTTGGGAGCTATTATTTTAACATGTTTCATTTGGGCCAAAATGATCATACCCAGGTGGGTGCCTAAAGTTAGGCCCCTAAATCCATATTTGGCACCGAAGTAAAAATGGTCTGATTTTTTTTCAGAGGGGCTGAGCATCTTCAGCTCCCATGGACTTCACTGCAGTTAGTAGGTGCTCAGCAGTTGTGGGAATCAGATTTAGTAGCCTAACTTCAGGCACCCAGGTTGGGAAGGGTTGGTCTCAGGTGTTGAACAGCAATGGGTGTGTTAGAAGAGAGATTTTCCTTATGTTGTTCTCCCCTATGAATCAATAGCGGAGTCATCTCCTGCATGATTTATTCCTTTTATATGCATGGGCTGGAAAACCCTTTGTTATATATCTGTATATACTGGCATTAACAACATCATCCATCATATATGTATTGCACTGGAGTCACTTTGGCTTTTGCTCCTGTTTGTGGAAGTCTTGAGCACATTCCCCTTTGGGATATTTGGAACTGACGTTGCTGGGAAGTTGAACAGAAAGAGAACTGGGTTTGTCAGAGGATCAGAGTTTCGACTTGGGGAACCGATTTGTGTACAATTTGTTAGAATGTCAGTGGTTGTTACATTAGGGTTGTAAAAGCCATTTAAGATTATACACAAAATTTCAAATATTACAGCAGTTTGGTTGAGTATCATATTGCCTCTATTAAGTTATGCCCATATCTTGAATGCTGCATGTAGATGTGGTCGCCCCATCTCAGAAAAGGATCTGGGAGCTCTGGTCTCCCTTTTAGGCCCTGGGGATCGTTCTGCTCCCTGGGAGTAGGAGTGTACACTATCTCAAAAGGGATACTAGATTTGGAAAAGATTCAGAAAAGGGCAACAAAAATGATTGGGGCATAGAACAGCTTCTATATGAGGAGAGATTAATAAGACTGGGACTTTTCAGCTTGGAAAAGAGACGACTAAGGGGGGATATGATAGAGGTCTATAAAATCATGTCTGGTGTGGAGAAAATGAATAAGGAAATGTTATTTACTGCTTCTCTTAACACAAGAACTAGGGGTCACCAAATGAAATTAATAGGCAACAGATTTAAAACAAACAAAAGGAAGTATTTCGTCAAACAACGCACAGTCCGCTTGTGGAACTCTTTGCCAGAGGATGTTGTGAAGGCCAAGACTATAACTGGGTTCAAAAAACTAAATAAATGCATGGACTACAGGTCCATGAATGGCTATTAGCTAGGATGAGCAGGAATGGTGTCCCTAGCCTCTGTTTTCCAGAAGCCGGGAATGGGCGACAGAGGATGGATCACTTGATGATTACCTGTTCTGTTCATTCCTCTAAAGCATCTGTCATTGGCCATTTTCAGAAGACAGGATACTGGGCTAGATGGACCTTTGGTCTGACCCAGTGTGGCCATTCTTATGTTCTTATGAGTTTTGTGCTCATGTGCTGCCATCTGGCGGCAAGACAAGGAGAATCAACATCATTGTTAATATGAGGTGAAATGTACCCCCTGCAGCTAAAATATCGTTCTCTGGGCTTAAGTGGGACTTTCATTTCAGTAATCCATAGGCCTTGTGCCGGCCCTCACACAGGGGCAAATGTCACTGTGGTTTGCCGTATTATTCACACAATATGGAGAGTAAGTGAAATGCTTTACACACACACCAGTTTTACAAAAGGCACCTGTTAGACA